CTACTAAGGATGACTTTATAAACATGAGGAAGAGCAAAGCTTTGACTAATAACTCATCTCTTTAGTTAAGGATTACACGAGACAGGCTCAGCGCAGACAGAAGTAGGAGCAACTTGCAGAAACCAAGCACTGAGGGAGGAACAGGACTGGGATGGAGCCAAACTATTTGTTGTGAAGGGATCTTCATCGCAGGCTCTAATCACTATGCTGAGATAAGGTGGGGGATGAGCTCCCAGCAGTAATCAGTCTTTTATTCCTGAAAACTCATAAATCCCTGGTGCAGAGGCTTTTAATTTCAACACTGACTTAATCATTTATCTAATCTAATGACAGGAGAAATCCCGGAGCAATCCTGTTGGAAAACCATGATGTCTTCACCCTCCTGCTCCCTGGGCTTCGCGCCTGTCCACGTAACAGCTATTTCAGAGCTCAGCTCCAGGGCACAGCCCTCTGCTGAAATACCTGAGGCCTCATAGTGGGTTTCAGTAGTAATACACTCAAGTATCACCACATCATTCCATAAGCTTTCCAGATCTACACAAACAAGATAAAAAGAAGAAAGGAAAAGGCGGTTCCTCTGGGTTCCAGTCAGCGCTGCCATTTTAACTGGGGGGCATCAGCCTCATCAGATCTTGCACGATTCAATAAAAGCTTCATTTCCATGAGTATTGAAAGCCATAAATTCCCTGCTCCCAGCAGACTGCCCATTTATGAACTTCCTCCCCCTATCCCCACTAGGTCAGCATGGTTCTCCACGTTCAGCTCAAGAGGACACTTACCACGTGCCAGTTTCTCTAGCACTAAATACGCATGGCCATTAAGTTTAAAGATCTTAGGACCATTAAATGGAACTCTTAGATACTGAGTCCCATATGGAGTAAACCTCATTGGCAGTCTCTGCATTGGAAAGCTGCCTCGGATTCAAGGCTGATGTCTATCAGGATAAGATACTGATGTTCTTTATGCACTCCTTGATAACAATCCTCTCAGCACAACAGGCGAAGCAGCACAGCCACCGGTGAGCAGCTTCAGCAGCAGCTCTGCAAACCGTAAGGAGACCTCGGAGGGAAACTCAGGTTCAGAACAACTTTATCTTTCAATAGCTCCCTAATCCCCTCACCCCTCTCCTGCAGGTTTCCCTTTGAGCGAGTCACACCCTGCCCGAGCCAGTCCCTGCATCCAAATTTAACAGCTACAGAAATAACCCAGCACCGCGATAAGACAACCTTCACAAAAGGAACTAAATCAAATGCTTCCAAACCAGCGTTTGGAGGATAAGTCTGGAGTGCCTGCACTAAGCCATAACCTCTTTACTGATGGTTTTTCCCCTTAACAGATTCGGGGGCTGTAATAACATTTAATCCTCAGGAGCTAATCTAAATGTAACACTCCAAAGAAGACAAAGACAACGCAACAGGAAAAAAAGTTTGGCCAGTGCCTTTTGGGAGTGCTGCTTTATCCCTGGAGCGAGCGCATTAACAGAGCTTGGAATGAAATGCCATTTTATTCTCTGTAGCAGGGAGGGGATTAGCAAGTTGTCTTCTCTAAACCCAGTCTGAGTCATGGCTTTATGAACACTGAGAAAAGGATGTGGAACGAAGCGAAGGGCGGGGAGCACTGGCTTTTTATTTACACGCCGCTTCCTTTGTGGGTGGTTACTGATGTGCACAGTTTGCTAAACAGGGGAGGAAGGGGGAAAAGTTCTAGGTCCCCAGACTTCCATTCTGTTGGTTAACAAAAGAGAAAAATCGTAATGCATCAATTATGACAACATCACTGAGACAATATGTCCGTGGCGTGCGTCCAATTCACCGCAGCGTGTAAGCAACAAGGGCAAGTTGCTGAAGGTGCTGAAAGCTGTGCTCAGTGCTTTGTTGTTGCTAGGATCTTCTTCCTGGGAGGAAGAAACTGGTTGGACAGAGCCCAGAACAAAGAAGAAGGAGGCAGAAGCAGGCTGGGTTCAGGTGAAGAGACAAGGAACAAAATCCACTGCACAGTCAGGCCATGCAGGCATCAAAGCCCAACAGCTAATAACTGTGCCAGTGATTTAATAGGAAGCACAGCACTTGGTACCTCACCTCTGTTTCTAGACAGAGGCAACAGGAAGGTTTACCTGCCTACCATACCAGCCTGCTGTGAAGGGTCACTGATGGAAAGCTTGTACAACATTCCTAAACCCTGCAACACCTGATAATCACTAAGGAGAGGAAATAGTCCATGGAACTCTTGACCGCTTGTGCAGAGCTGTAAGTGTTGATAACGGAATTACACAAGTCAATAAATGCCAAGAAAACGCTGGATTTTTGTTTCAGCTATTTCTTCTCTCTGCTCCAACATGGGCTCCGAAAACAGGCTGTGGAAAGAGCCCCAGCTCTAGTCCCCTCTTCCTCCATCAGCCATGCCAATACACATGGCAGAAGACAACCCATACAGGGCAGACTGGTCTCACAAGGCACAAGTACCCAGTGTTAGGTCAGACTTCACAGTGAAACAGGGATAATATAAGCTAGGGAAGAGACACTATGGGAAGGGGATGTACTCTCCTCTGTGAATGGAGAAAGTGCCACTCCTGGGTTCCTTTTGTTACAGGAGCTGTCATAGTCCAGCACTGGAAACAGGCAGACCTGCGCTTCATTCATAGTTTGACTCTATTCCAGTTCATGTCATTTCGCTGGAGTATCAGCTTATTCCTGCCAACCAAGCTACTAGATGTGTGTAAATCAGCCTTACCCGTCTTAGCACCCACTGCGCTTATAGACTTGTAAGAAAGCACAGAACAGGATCAGCAACCTGCTCTTTCCACTGAAGTCACAGGATCTTGTAATTTATTACCATAAACAGGCTGTAGGAAGACTTGAATGTACAACGCCTAAGAGGACCTTACAACATGCAGGCTTCCAGTCCTACCACTGAAGCATGAACACCAATGTACAAAGGAAGTTTCCCTGACCCTGTCTCAGCCTTATCACAACACACGAGGCATGTGTAGAATCACAGGATAGTTAGGAATGGAAAGGACCTTAAGATCATCAAGTTCTAACCCCCTGCCATGGGCAGGGACACCTCGCACTAAACCATGTGACCCAAGGCCTCGTCCAACTTGGTCTTGAACACTGCCAGGGATGGAGCATTCACAACCTCCCTGGGCAACCCATTCCAGTGCCTCACCACCCTAACAGGAAAGAATTTCCTCCTTATATCCAATCTAAACTTCCCCTGTTTAAGTTTTAACCTGTTACCCCTTGTCCTATCACTACAGTCCCTAATGAAGAGTCCCTCCCCTGCATCCCTATAGGCCCCCTTCAGATACTGGAAGGCTGCTATGAGGTCTATGTGTACTCTTTAACATGTTGTACACCAAGGCAATGATTATGAAAAGGATCATTGCTACTGCTTTAAGAGAGGTATCCACTGCAGTGATGGGGTAAAGCAATGAGTCTTTAATGTACAGTTACAGATGACTCAAGTTCATATTGCCAAATAGAAGAGCCTTGTACAGTAAGGCCAGAAGCCAGGGACTGGCAGATGATAAAGGCTCAAAGAAAAGGGTAAGGAAATCCTAAAAGCCCATAAACACATTTTCTGGCTCTTGAAAAAAAGAAGCCATTAGCATTTGCATTGGTCTCAGCCACTAATCTTTATGAGGAATGGTTGCATTCCTGAGTTTCCTACATTACCAGTCACCACCTTCACAAGAAACAGAAGAGACCAAATGAAACCGAAACCTCAGGAATCAGAACTAAAGACAGCTATAAAAAATAGGTTAGTTCTAGTCTGTAAAAGCAAGTGAAGCACATAAACCAAGGTCCCAATCTCTTCCTTTCTAAAGCCACAAGGATAAATCACTGCTACGTGTGTTCCCAACAACTCACCGCGCATCTGCAGAAGCAAATCCAAGACAGAGCTGATCAAAGACCGTCAGAACTTTATGTCTTATGAATTTCTTTGATTTTATTTAAAACCAGAATTTTGATTTCTACCATGGAAAATGGCATGAAAAAGCTCACAATGTGTTAGCTGCCTTGTTTTGGCTTCTTTAGCAACTTATTGCTTGACTGTCCAAACAAAAATGTGAAATTACAACAGGTTATGTGATGCTTTGGCAGCCAAATATGATTTTAAATAAAGACAGCACAATATACTGCCCACCCTACTAACATATTCATCACTACTATATTATCTATTTCTGCAATTAAGTATCATACAGTCTGGACTGGACCCAACTGGACTACATATGTTGCTACTCCAGTTTACTGCATGTTGGCCAACTGTTTACCCAACTGAGATCCGAGTGCTGCTCTTGACAGTGTAATTGCTTTAGACTCATTAATATTAAAGAATTAGAGAAAATATTTCTTCTTGGGCAGCTGTTAGTGCATGTGGAACAATAAGCTATCTAACAGTACTGGCAAACACAAAAGGAATTGAGACACTAAATATGCTCCTGGTAAAAAGGCAAGATTAAAGGTCTGCTAATTGTATCAAGGCCAATAAAAAAGGCCAGAAAAACCATCACACCCACTCAAGAAAACATTCAAGATAATTATAACTCTTTTTTGATTGGAATTTACAGGGCTGCTCACCTTTTTCTTCCCTGGTCAATGAAAACCCTGTAAGTGGTGCTGTTCTTCCTCCTCCCATGCACTAGCCCCATCCTGCAACGTATAAGGCTCAACACATTGGGTCAAAGTTTGAGCAGATTAAATACATTCCACTGCCATCTTGAAAACCCTGGAAAACTCACATTAAACAGGAGCAGTTACTAAGTCTGTGTTTTCTTCCTCGTTCTCCCTTGGAAGATCTAACAACCTGATAGTAAGCTCTGTCAAGCTTGGCACAGAACACGAAGGTGCTGCCTTACAACTCTTGCAGCTCCTCAACCCCCTGGATACCTGACAGGAGGTAACTCCACACTCCATTTACAGGAATATCCAGAGGCTACACACAGAGGGTTATGGAACGCAACTGGAACTGCTGAAAAGAACAAAAAGGCTCCTCACTTGATCCACTCCTCTGCCTTGCTGGCTGCTTCCTTGTACTGCTCACACGTCAGCTTGTAGATCTCTGCGTTCTGAAACAAAGAGGAGAATATTCAGCTCTAAAAATGAAATGTGGTTCAGATCTTATCCTGGCACAGGGTTATCTTCTATAATTAATAACCATTTCCAACAACAAACAGCATATTCAGTTCAAAGAACACACCAAAAAATGCTTAAAAGTTGCTTTTCTTCTATGCATCAAGGCCACATGTCCCAAATTCCAGCTTCGCTTTGCAAAGGGAAAGAGAGGGGAAAAGGTCACCAAACCCAGCCTCAGCTTTGATTATTCCATGTAACCACAAAACCAAGGCGATTCCAGCACCACGTTAGGGTTTGGTTGCGTTTTGTTCTCTTTCCCTGTGAATTGTTTTGAAGGATCCCAGACATTTCTGACATGCAAGTACCAAACTTGGCTGCCAGCACTGAAAAAGCCATTTCACATTTCAGCGCTCCTACTTAGAATCATAGAATAGTTTGGGTTGGAAAGGACCTTAAGTTCATCCGGTTCCAACCCCCTGCCATGGGCAGGGACACCTCACACTACACCATGACACCCAAGGCTCTGTCCAACCTGGCCTTGAACACCGCCAGGGATGGAGCATTCACAGCTTCCCTGGGCAACCCATTCCAGTGCCTCACCACCCTTACAGTAAAGAACTTCTTCCTTAGATCCAATCTAAACTTCCCCTGTTTAAGTTTGAACCCGTTACCCCTTGGCTTCTTCTTTAAAACATAATTATGCAGCCTGTTTCCCTTTTAACAACATCGGGAGGCATATCAGGTCTCAGCTACAGCACTGCCAAACAGCGGCTTGAGTGTCTTGCTGCAGGGCTTAAGAGGTTTGCATTAAATTCTCCTGAGCTTGCACAGAAAGAGTTTTAGTTCACAACTGCTCAGCTGCTGAATATGGAGATGGAATTCCTCCTCGGCTGCATGTACAAGCTTCCTAAGCACAAACAGAAGGGAGCGGCCCCAGCAACTGTGCTGCTGATAAAGCCGCTCCAGGCAAAGCCTCTGGACTTGGTACTGCAATTGCCTCACAGCTCATCTGCAAAGGCACATGCAGAAAATAGGCAATAATCAATCAAACTAGTGACAAACTGGTTCTGGGAGCGAGGACAGCTATTCAGCTAGGTTCTACCCGCCCTCATCTCCCCACATTCAGGCCTTTCTATAGAACGCTATTCTTGCCCTTCTTTCTCATTTATTTCCCTATGAATGCAGCCGTGGTCCCTGTGCATGAGATGACACGCATTGTTCAGTGGTTACGAAAGGGAAAGGACAGGCACAACTCCAACACTATAGGCAGTTGTGCCACTCATGAATCCACCGTTTTCCATGTGGGAGCGAAGGATAACAGCCCTCTTCATCACTGAAGCCGGGTGAAGCTCAGCTAATGGGAAGCTTCAGACAGGTTTTCAGAGCCTTCAAGGTGCTGTATTGAAGTTTTATCTTTGGCGCCTGAATTTATGTCACATACCAAAAAATCACAGAGCAAACTTTGGTGTTCCAAGCCTTGACCCCGGAGACAGGCTTAAACTGAGAACTCCTGAGGAGTAACCACTTCAAAATGCATTTGCCAGCAAACTGACATTACTGTTTCCATTTACTTACTTGTTAAATAATGACCACAAACTTCTGTGCTATTAAAGCCATTTTCCCCTCTTCTATAAGGAAAAGTTCAGCTTTTAATGGAACCTCTTTCCCTGTCCTGTAAACACCCCTCCTGACTCTCAGCTCCCTGCTGCTGCTTATTCACACACGAAGCCACACGACCTGTGCTCCATTAATTAAATTTGCCTTTAAATATTAACTAACGTGAGCCAATGGATGTGTTATCTCCATGGGCTGCACGAGGCTCCCCGATTCTCCAATTACTACCCAAGCAATTTGCATATTTCATACAGTCTCATTCCTCACAGGGACTGGATTTGAGAGATCAAAATGAGAGAAACTGGGAAAAAGAAAAAGCAAGGCATAAAATGAAGCATCTTTCAGGCAACGGGAAGTAGCCCCTTCAGATGCTATTAGCCCCCAGCACTCTGCAGTGAAACAGCAGCATGGGAGGGAAACAGGAACAAATACGTTGTACCTGAGACCCAGTGTGAGGTTGGCATTTAACCCACCTCAAGAAAGGGAAAAAAGAGCCAATGGGTCCATGTGCTGGTCAAAGTGTGGATTAAAGCCGTTGTGGTGCAACCTTGCCTTGTCTATTAGAGAGAGTTCAACTGCCCAGCACTGGGGTCAGCCTCAGCTTCAACACCACCAACTACAAACAGGGACAGAAATAGCTGGGAAGGAGCTGGTAGGAAATAGCTCTGGATTTGAAAGCTGATAGAAGCAGGCAAGTGAGGACCTGAGTGGAGAGGCAAGAACCTCAGTGAGGGAAAGGAGAAACCTGGCCTCAAAGAAACCACAAGGCCCATGGCACAAGGTGAACATCAAGGAGGGGTGCAGAGACCTTCAACCTGCACATGAAAGCTGTGGGGCTTTAGAAGTGAAAAGGAAACATCTTTGCATGTGATCCAATGGGGGCTCCTGCCTTCGGATCAGAGCCTTCGGCCGCTTTTGCCCCGCTTCAAAACCCAACGAAGCAGTATTGCCAGTGCTATGAATCAGTATCTTTAAGTGCTTCCCCAAGTCAGAAAAAACAAGAGTTTTACCATTCAAACCCGGGTTGGTTCAACAAGCAGACCTGCCAAACAGGTTTTCCTTGGCCTCTAGGCCCTTTCCTACCTTGGGAAAGTCACATTCACTTTTGTCCTAAACACTAAATGAGTAACAAATGTGCAACAGACAGGTTCTGTCATTTAGGGCTTCTATTTAGAGGGTAATTCTCCAACCATCCCCATCTCTATGACTGCAGATGCAAGCTCTGCTTCAGTTCCAGTATTTTACCTACCACGCTATGGCAGGAAATAATGTTCCAGTGGCCTACAAAAGGTCACAAGCGAGGAGCCAAGCCAGGAGCCAGCCCTGCACTTCCATGACTCCCACAGCGCTGCCCGCAGACAAGGGCTATTCAGCAAGATGTAGTCGTAGTGAAGTCCTTGAGCTTCACAAACTGATATTCAGTTATGCAGCAGAATAGAGCACATTCCACACAACATTACAAGGCGTGGACGCTGCTTTTAATTCACTCGCACAATATTTGATGCTCAAGATAAAACAGCAGCTCACAAAGAGAAAGCTGAACATGAGACCCCAACTATTATTAAAGAAAGCTCCTGGCAGTCTTAGTTGCAGAAATGAGTTAAAAGACACGACCAAAGGACACCATAAGGGCTCAAATAACAAGAGACACAGAAAGAATGAATGAACCACCTCAAATGTTTCACTTCTCTCAATAAAGCTGAGCCTTAGGGGAGCCAACTTCAGAACATCGGAGCTTTGTCATATGGGGAGAGAGCTCTCCAGAGAGGACAAACAAACTAAACAAAGAACTGTTGGTTTGAAGGATGTTACCCTGCTATTAAATGATGCTTCGTAGCAAAGACTAAAAACACCAAGAAGTTATAAAAATACATAACTAGAGCCTAAAGACCAAAAGAATTGCTTTCCTTTACTCTGCCGCCTTTCCGCAGCGGCTTTGCTGCTCTCCCCTTGCTCCCCGCTCTTCCCAAAACAGCCTGGCACTGAAAACTCCACTTCCAAAGGGAATCCATTTTCAAACTCGGAGCTAAATTTGGAGTTGTTTATAATTCAGCATTCCTCCTTGGCTGCAAACATGCAGAGAAACTCCAACACTCGTTGCTACACCTCGGTACGCACTGCATGGGCCCCTGCCATGCACAGCATCGAAGGTAAGAACACAGTATAGCAGAAGATGGAATTCTCAGGGTTATTTCAGGAGGGAAAGTAATTGAAGCATAAAGAGAAACCCCTGCCAGCTCATTCTCACGCTGCCATTAAAGCGCATTCCTTACAACCTCAGTGCAACACACACTACTTGCAGGAACACGTAAAGCAGAAAAACCCAGCAACGCCAGCCCGATGAACTAGAAATTAATGAGGTTTTAGGCCAGATTCACTGTGAACATCAAGCAGCAGCATCAAACACCAGTTTTCTGACAGTGGGCCGCAGATTTCCCCAGCAGGTACAGGCTGGGTCAAGAGATCAGAAAGGGTTTGGATGCAAACCACCGCAAACCAACACAGCACTGTGGCTATCCGGAGATATTCTGACACCTCTATAGAAGCTTGTCAGTGGCCAGAGCGTGTAAAGACCCAAAGAGGATTAAGAGCTGTTGAAACGCTGCCAGCAGCAATGAATGCTGGTGATAGCTCATGAAACAGAGCAGGACAGGGGGGCTCTGACAAATGCTGCCTGCGACAGCCGGGAGTAGATGGTAGGATGTGCCTTGCACCTGACAGAGCACTGCTGTGGTCCCTGCTCCTGACATCCGTGCTCCCCATCTCCCAGCAAACCTCCATTCCAGCTGAAAGGGGCATGAGAGGCAGGGTGGACACATGGCACGTCCCACAAGTAGGGACCACACGGGTTTAGTAAAGGGGAAGGAAAGCAGAGATTACTTCTCAAGTCTCAAATGTCAACTGGGAGACATTCACATTCCTGCATCCAGCTGTTTCTGAAGGCAGAAATCAGACCTCACACACCCTGAGAACACAGCACGACCGCTCCTGCCTGCAGCAATGGGGAACACACACGTGTCCTGGACACAGCTGCGGCCCCGAGAGAAGGTCAGTCATGGGATCACAGAGTGGTGTGGGTTGAAAGGAGCTTAAAGCTCACCCAGTTCCAACCCCTGCCACAGGCAGGGACACCTGCCACTAGAGCAACTTGCTCTAAGCCCCTGAATCCAACCTGTGCTTTAGGAGCTGCCCTTCCTCACAGCACTACCCGAGGGAAGCAGCGGAGCACCGGGGTTCCCACACCTCACCGGGTCGCACAGCACAAATCAGGGTATTCACCCCTATCTCTCCAAGTCTCACATAAACAGCTCCCAATAGATCCGAAGAACAACCCCAGGTACCCACACCCCTCCTGCAGGTACAGAAGGGGATGAGTTGA